CCATTGTAATTCTCACTTGTACATTAATTAGTGTGCCTTGGTATGTTAAAATCATAGAAAATTGGTACAAATGAACTTATTTACAAAACAGAAATTGAGTCACAGATGTAGAAAACAAAATTACGGTTTCCAAGGGGCGGAGAGAGATAAATTGGGAGACTGGGATTCACGTCTCCACACTGTGGTATGTAAAATAGACAACTGATAAAGACCTACTCTACAGCACAGGGAACGCTGTTTGGTGCTCTGTGATAAGCTATATGGGAATGGAGTCTGGAACAGAGTAGTTGTATGTATGGCTGATTTTCTTTGCTGTACATCAGAAATTAATACAACATTGTAAGTCAACAAAACTCTAATTAAAAATTAATTTTAGTATCTCTCAGGCAATCTAAAATGAATTTACTGAGAAGGAAGCCTCTCAAGCTCCATTTCTTATAGCTGACCTCAGGCAGAGTCCTTCATTTTTCCAGATAAAGTTTCTTTTTTACATTTTTTAACTGAGAAAGAAAAAAAAGATGTGAGGTCGTATTTGGGTGGAGGTGTAGGACCACCCATAACCCTGCTACCCCAGCACATAATTATTTTATTTTGGCCTCTTAATTCCCACAATTTTATTGGCTACCTTTATAGTACACATTTCATATTCTGCTGTGTTCACTTAAGTTTGTATCATACATGCATTTCCATGTTTGTGCGTAGTTTTCGTGATTCACTGTATGTCTTAACAGTGAAGTTGGATAAATGGAGCGGACACATTATTTCCAAAATAACACTATTCTGTGTATCCTTTGGCATCACAGTGCACTTGGCAGGCATCTGCTTGGTATAGAATTGTTCTGTAACAAGTCGATTCATGGCTGGAGAGGTAGCCAGCTGACATCTGCAAGATGCCTTGTTCTCCGAAAGGATTTCCTTTGAGGGCAATGCCAGCCCTCCAGTTGTGCCCGAGCAGCTGAAAATGAGAACAAGGAAAGCAGTATTAGTTTGCAATTGTTAGTATTCAGAAGAAAATTTCACTGTGCCTGGGAAGCCAGACAAAGCTACAGATGTCCAGCCACTCTCTCTCTACACACACCCAGGATGGCAAACCTTTTCTCAGCTGATGATGAAAGCAAGATGCTCCTATTTTCCATCCATGTGGAACAACAAACAGGTCTCCTTTTTGAGGAAAAAAAGAGCCACAGCTGTGCTGTCAAAAGAAAGCTGTGCTTTCAAAAACATGATGACTCAAAGTTGAGTTTCTGTTTAGACTCACTTCTCTGTGCAGATTTTTCTCAGGGGCAGTTTGCCTTCCAAAAGGGAAAATGAAGTCGCTCAGTCATGTCCAACTCTTTGCGGCCTCATGGACTGTAGCCCACCAGGCTCCTCCGTCCGTGGAATTTTCCAGGCAAGAATACTGGAGTGGGTTGCCATTTCCTTCTCCAGGGGATCTTCTTGACCCAGGGATTGAACCCGGGTCTCCCGCATTGCAGGCAAACACTTTACCATCTGAGCCACCAGGGAACCAAATTTCCTATTAGAATAGGGAGTGTGCTTGTAAATCCCCCAAGATTTAGTAGTGAGATTTTGTTTAAGGGAAGAATGACGTTGGAAGATCCTTGGGTAGATCTTAACATCTGAATGTACAGCTACTTCTTTAAATGTCTGAGCAGATAAGACGAGATGCAGGGAATGGAATTGTATGTTTCAGATGAAAATGAGACTCAGGCATGTGAGTCTGACCTTAGATATGGGTATGAACTCAGGGTCACGTCACACTTTGCAAGTTTGGAAATATTTTAAGAAAAATGATAAGGCTACCTTTTCTTTATGGCCATGAATAGAACTTTATTTGATATAGTAATGTCTGTTGGATACCGATTTTCCTTGGTTTTTATACAACTTATTAGAATGTGAGTAAGTAACTCAAGAACATGTTTATACCCTTAACTGTTTACAGCATAAAGAAGTTCAGAACTTTGTGTTTTATATATGGAAAGAACAAACAGAATTTCTTAAAATTCCTTAAAATTGTCCTTAGCTTTGAAATTGCTGTATAATGCAAGGAACTCAACCTGGTGCTTTGTGACAGCCTAGAGGGACAGGATGGGATGGGGAGGGTGGGAGAGAGTTGCAAGAGAGAGGAGATATATGTATACATATGACTGATTCACACTGTTGTGTGGCAGAAACCAATACAACATTGTAAAGCAATTATCTGCCAATTAAAATAAACTTAAAAATTAAAAAATGTTGTCCCCACCCTTCAGAAAAGTTTCTCAAACCATTAATATTCATAAATGTTTTAAAAGGAATTCCAAAATGATATTCACGATGGTTGTAGCACTCGCCTTCCTAAACTCCCTCTCTGTTGACCTTGAGTTCGTCCTAGTAAGAACCGAATTGCTGAATATCTAAAATGTTATCCAAAATGCCTGTGCAGTTGCTGTCAGCTGCTCTATTGAAATGTGAACATTTTGGGTGCTCTTTTTTGTTAAAAGAATAATTTATACATTTTGGTATGGCAGCATATATTTTAGCATAATTTAAAATTATAGTAGCTTTCTTTGAACTTAGATTGGGCAATGATTGAAATGAAACTGATGGATTTTTTTTTTCCAGCCAAGTTTTTTATTCACTTTGTAAAAGTTTTCCTTTTTAAAAAAATTGAGATATAGTTGGCTTATAAGATTATATTCAGGCATACATTATAATTTAATCCCTGTATATGTTGTTAAGTGATCCCCAGAATAAATCTAGTTAACATCTAAATAAGTTACAAAATTTTTTTCTTGTGATGAGAACTTTTGATATCTGCTGTCTTCAAATATACAATATTGTATTGTTCATTATAGTCAGCAGACTGTATAGTACATACCCAAGTCTTACTTACTTTAACTGGAAGCTTGTACTTTTTGACCACCTTCACCCAGTTTTCACCCCCACCCCCATTCTCCTGTTTCTGGCAACCACCAACATGTTTTCAGTATCTAGGAGTTCATGGCTTTTTGGTTTCATTGGTTTATTTTAGATTCTACGTATAAGTGAGATCATACAGTATTTTTTCCTGTCTGACTTATTTTATTTAGCATAATGCTCTACAAGTCCATCCACGTTGTCATAAATGGCTAGATTTCCTTTCTTATGGCTGAATCATATTCTTATAAATGACTATGAGTGATAGTATGACTTGATGGAAGCATGAATAATACTATGACTTGGTTGGCTTCTTTGCAGGAAGGAGAAAGAATTCTCTTGTAGGAATAGACAACAGCTTTGCACATGCCAGTGGTCAGGGAAGGAGCCGGGTTGGGCAAGGAGAGAAGAGGCTGCCTTCTCTGTGTTTCCTGGAGAAAGCGCTCCTGAGAACGTACTGCGATGCCCATGAAGTGAGGCAAGGCCGTAATCGGTCCATGTTCATCCTTCCTTTGGGTCTGCATGACATGGCTGATAGCTGGGGAAAGACAAGGTGGCTTCAGTGGGGGCTACAGTCATAGGCAAAGCCAAAGACTGGAAGGAATCGTGAAGTCTTCTGGTCCAGGCAGCTGTGTTGGGGTGGCTCAGACTCACTTGTGAGCATAGTTGTTATCTTTTCAGGAATTCTGTGATCCAGTTGTAAAACATAGCCATTATTAACACTAAATTATATAAACTTACAGTTAAATAAGTTATGTTAGAACAAAGTTAATATGTACTATAATAACTAAATAAATCAATTTAACACATCCTAATTATTTTACTGGCCTTTGCTAGTATCTCCATTCTTGAAGTGGTATGTATTAGGTTTTTCTTGTTTTGTTTCTACTTACTAGATTACTGCTTTATTGTTGTTCTTACCACTGAGATTCTTTACCACTGAGCCACCTGGAAAGCCCCACTGGTTTATTATAAAAGGATGAAACCCAGGAACAGCCCGACAGAAGAAACGCATAGGGAAGTTATGGGGGAGAGGCACGGAGCTTCCCTGCCCTCTCGCAGCATCATTCTACCTGGAGGTGCTGTGTTTTGTCTCTGTCTGTTAGAAATACTCTGCGTGTTGTCCTGACAGTTGCTTGAAATCAGACGTGGTGAAGCTTCTCGGAGCAGCAAGAGTCTTTTGGTTAGATTGGTGGCTGTCTTAACATCTCCCAGAAAGCTTGGTCTTCAGAGGATTTCCTTTGAGGATGATGCCAGGGCTCCAGCAAATGCTACAAATTTGGAAGCATTCTGAAAGCTTTTTCCTTCCAGAAAGCTGGTTGCTAAACATTTACCATTGCCCCCAGTGGGCCCACCTACTCATTTTAATACCTGAGATGGGGGTGCAGAGATGAACAGAGGCTTGTTCAAAGTCCTGCAGTCAATAACCAGCAGGGTTAAGACTTGACTTGGTCTCCTGCTGCCTGCCAAGATGCTCTTTCTATTGTACAGATTTGTTATTGGTGAAGGGCACAAGGTGAGCGGTCAGGTTCAGCTGTGAGCTTTTATCTCCCAGGTTCCTGTAACACAAGGGACAGCTCTGTAGGGACTAGAGTCATATGAGGAGAGGGGATGATTAACAGAGAAATCAAGTTCAGTTGCCAGTGGGGTGGTCTTTTGCTCCCTATGATCAAATAGGGGAATGAGTTGGGAGGTGGCAGAGACCAGATACTGAACTATGACCCTAATGCACAGTGATAAACTTATTGAAGAGTGACTCAAGAATGAAGAACTATTACCACCTGATAATATGTTATATATGCATTTGCTAGTTTATTTTATATCTCCCCCATAAGAATGTAACCTCCGTGAGGACAGGGACCTAGTCTTGTGTGCCACTATGCACCAGCTCCCAAAATAGTACCTGGCACATAGAAAATGTTCAATAAATATTTTTGAATGAATGAATGAACCAATCCTGCCGTTTCTTGGCCTTATAGTCTCCAGCTCCCAGGGGAGGTTTTGCCCAGAGGAATGTGCCTGCTGGCATCCAGCATGGGGACCCTCTAACCTTGTGAAAGGCCACTAGACTCTTGGTGACCATCATTTGTCTTTCTTCTTAGATGACGGAGGGCCGTCGATGTCAAGTACATCTTCTTGATGACCGGAAGCTGGAACTCCTAGTTCAGGTAAATGACTCTTGGCCAACTTTCTAAGTTTTTTCTGCAACTGATGCAGTTCAGATATTGATTCAGCTGAAGGGTGGGTGAGAAAATAAATCATTTTAAAATCTCTATTAAAATCTCTATTAAAATCTCTGAGAGAAGATTGGGGCACACCATGGTGTTTGTGTGTATGTGTGTGTGTGTGTGTGTGTGCACGCGCACATGCTTGCATGCTATTTTTGTTCATTCTGCTTCTTTGTACAGGACCCCTAAGGCATTCAAGGCCAGATATAGATCAAACCTATTGTTACAAATCTCTAGAAAAGGAAATTCCACAACTGCCATTAGCTAATCTTTCTGAATGTAAGGAGTTAGCTATAGTATAACCTAGAGAACTCTTGCTACAAGACTGATTTTGTCATCTTCCTTGCTCGAGTTACAGAAAACAGTTCATTATTTTCAAGTTAAACCTTCATAGGTGTGACAAAAGAATAGCAATCTCCTGGCTCTGTCTTCTCTCTAAAGGCTGAGTAACCCCAACTCCCTCCCAGAGGTCATCATTGCCATCACTGTTGATCATCTATATGTTAGTTGACACATAGGAAATCATTTATCCCCAAAGAACTTATCCATGGCAGAGAAGTCAGAGCAGGCATTAGAATCCAGGCATTAGAATTAGTCCATTAGAAATGGACCCTGGTTTTGTTCAGCTTCAAAAAATATGTATCATTGTTTTACTCAGAGCCCTAAAGAATGGTGAAGTTTCCAAACTTGATTTAAAGAACTTAATTCCAAATCTCTTGTTCACCTCCAACTTTTCTAACCATATTTGCTTAATCTTCTCCAGTGTCTATCATATTCTTAGGGCAGTGCTCTTTAACCTCCATCATATTTGCCCTGGAGATGCTGCAGTTCATCAGTGGGTTGAAACAATGCCCACATGCTCATTCACGAGGGAAAACTATGCTCCCGTGGGGAGATTTACATAGAGGCACTCAGATCTCATGTTCCCATGTATGTGCTGCTGGGATTTGAAAATGTTCAAACTGCTAACTTAAAGAGTGACTACTTTTAATAAGATTTCAGTTTTAAAGGTGTTACAAATGCAGTGTAGGAAAGAGAGAAACTGTGGGAAGAAGCTCAAAACTGCAATTAACAGTTCAACTCCTGTTCTCATTTTGGTAGATTTCTTTCCAGCACTTTTCATATTTGTATTTCTTACATAGTTGCAATCATGTGTGACTAATTCTCTGTATTTTCTTTTTTCACTTAATGTTGTCTTTCATTAGCCTTTTCCAAGTTACTGAAAATTGTCATCTTTGTGAATAGCTTCATAAATTCCAAAAATGGATATTCCATTAGTATTGAGTCACTTACTCATTTAGGTCCATTGAAGATTTCTTTACAGTTTTTCCACTATTACATTTTTACTGTTACTACTAAATGCTGTGATTAATTTATCTACCCTTGTACTGTTCTCCCATGTTTAGGATTATGTCCTTGTTAGACTAGATTCGGAGGACCACAGGCTTAATAAGAGTTGAAACTTTGGCTTGGATTGGAGGGTGGGGCAGTGGATAAGACTATAAAGTGAGCAAGATCTCTTCAGTTAGCAGCATCACAAACTAATAAAGCACTTGGAGCTTTAAATGGTTAAGAGTCAACTTGAGATGCTGAGAGGTGAGTGGTCTGGTGTGTTTTAGATGCTTTTTAATATCAACTCTTAGAGGCTTAGAAAGCAGCTACCCTCTTAAACAGGAAATGACACCTCAGTGGCAGTGAAATGACAGTCGGGTGGCTGATTTGCTCTGGGGAGGTATGGTTGGGGGCATCTGAAGTAGTCTCAAGTCACTGAAAAGAGATGCAATTACTGATGTGCAGCAGTTTTGGAAAGGGCATTTTCAACCGTTTACCATCAAGAAAATGTTTAATTGGACCAAGTAAGAGAAGTTCATACTCTTCCCATCCCTTTTCAAACATGCTTCAAATGTTATTCCCTCTTCCTGGAACACTCCTTCCCATGCCCTCACCTCTGTCCCTGGATAGTTTCTGTTAAGCTTTCAGTTCCCAGATTCAAAGACACTTTTCCCTCTGAGACTTTCCTTCTTCCCCCAGGTCGGGGTCTTACCGTTACCCAACCAGACTTGGGTCTGCTCACCCACACACAGTAAGGCTGGTTGCTGAAACAAGATTGTGGTGAAAGGAAGTGCAGCATTTATTGCAGGTACTAAGGGCTTCCCTTGTGGCTCAGCTGGTAAAGAATCCACCTGCAATATAAGAGACCTGGCTTCAACCTGGGTTGGGAAGATCCCCTGGAGAAGGGAAAGGCTACCCACTCCAGTATTCTGTCCTGGAGAATTCCGTGGACTGTATGGTCTATAGGGTCGCAAAGAGCCAGGCACGACTGAACAACTTCCACTCTCCAAGATAGGAGTCCTGGCAGCTAATGCTTGAAAGGCCTGAACACCCCAAGGGCTTTCAGGGAATAGCTTTTAAACACATGGTGAGGTGTGATCAATGTGTGGACTTTCTTCAGATTGGTTTGTAGTGAGGTAATTGGAAGTCAGCATCATCAGCTTTCTGGTTCCAGCAAACCTGGGGTCTTTGTGTTTGTGGTCAGCATAGAGTTAACTTCTTCCACTTGGTGAGGGGGTGGGTTAGTATCTACAGAGCAACTCGAAGACTATGGCTCAGAATATTATCTATGGTCCTTAGGTCCTTCACATTGTTTAATGGCTGAGCTATTATTATTTTGTCTTGCTTATTTCCTTAGTTTCTGTATTTTCTCACTTCTGTGATTAAATTTATTTTCTGGAACTTGGAGCAGGCTAAAGTTCTTCTATAAATAAGAGGCAGGCAGAGGACATGGTGGGGGGAGGGTGTCTGTCCTGGGAAGACCCCCTGCTGACAGTCCTGCTCAGTGACGTTAACTTTTGCTCTTGCCCCTGAGGTTTCCCTCTTACTGTCACAACTCATCACAACTCACTGCCGTGGCCTGTTTACTTGGCATTTCCCGGAGCCGTCGACCGTGTGAGGGCTGGGTCTGTGTCATGATCACTGTGTAGCCCCAGCACCCAGCCCAGGGCCTGGCACATAGGTCACTAAATAAATCCTTGTGAATGAAAGAATGGGCAAATCCTCAGATGCTCTAGAAGTATCTCCCCCAAGGACCATAGAACCAATTGCTTTGAGTTTAGCACCCCAAAAAAACCAAAACAAAACGTGGAAGCAACCTAAATGTCCATCAACAAACAAATGGATAAAGATGTTGTACATATATATAAAGGAATGTTACTCAGCCATAAAAAAGAACAAAATGACACCATTTGCAGTGATATGGATGGAGACTGTCATACTGAGTAAAGTAAGTCAGAGAAAGACAAATATATGATATCACTTGTATGTGGAATCTAAAAAAAAATTTTACCAATGAACTTATTTATAAAACAGAAATACAGTCACAGATGTGGAAAACAAACTTCTGGTTACCAAAGGGGGAAGGGATAAATTGGGAGGTTGGGATTGATATATACAAACTGATGTATATAAATGGGTAGCTAATAAGGATCTCCTGTATGGCACAGGAAACTCTACTGAATGAATACTCTGTAATGATCTATATGGGGCTTCCTTAATGGCTTAGATGGTTAAAAAAACAAAAACAAAAAAAAAAACTCTGCCTGTGATGCAGGAGACCCAGGTTCAATCCCTGTGTTGAGAAGATCCCCTGGAGAAAGGAATGGCAAACCACACCAGCATTCTTGAGAGGAGAATTCCACGGACAGAGGAGTTTAGCGGGCTACAGTCCATTGGGTCACAAAGAGTCAGACACAACTGAGCAGCTAACACTTTCACTTTCAGTGACCTGTGTGGGAAGAGAATCTTAAACAGAATGGATATATGTATATTTATAACTGATTTCACTTTGCTTACAGCAGAAACTAACATACATAATGGTATAAATCTATACCCCAATAAAATTAATTTTTAAAATATGAAGAAGAAGAAGATGGTTGTTTTGAGATGTTAGTCTGCTATCTTCTTGTTCAGCCAGCTTTCCAAATAAAGTTGTATTCCTTGACTCAGGGGGAAAAAAATGAAGAAGAAATGATTCTAAACTCTCATATATTATTACAATATGAGTTGCAACAAAACTTGGAGAAACAAGGATGGACAAAAGCCAACTTAAATATATGACTTTTCTTTGTATCCTACAAACTACTGTAGTCCAGGATTGTACTCTCTTGACAGAAGATTTAGGGGATTCCCTATTCTCGAATTCATTGGGACCCAAGTTTTTAATAACATATAATATTTTGACTCAGAACCCTTTTTTTTTTAACAGCTTCGTAGACTGAGAACCTTGTAAGTTGTTTAGTCACCACTATTATGCATATTAAATGCTAATATTTTTGCCGTTGTTAAGAACAGTTCCAGAATATGTGTAATAAGCTGTGGGCTGAGTAGTACCCTTCCTAATCTTTTGATCTGGTGGGGAAGGGTAGATGTTTCCTATGCTGACCTCACAGGGGTTATAATATGGAGAGGCAAGTTCGGAGGAAATGGTCATCTCTCTCAAAGATGAAAACAGGTTTACACACAAGGATGAATGAATGAATAAAGGGCATTGATAACAGCAACAGACATGGGAAGTCCAGCTTTTCAGGCACTAAAGATTAGGGTAAGAGACTCATCCAAGGCTAGACCACAGACCTTCAGAAGCAGCACAGTTTCCAGCAGCAGAAGTGGCAGAACACTGGGCTAAGAATCAACATGTAACCAGAATTGCTTTTGTATCAGAAGGATGCTGGTAATCAGACAACTACAGAGATTATTTCCTGCACCTGTGCAGACCTGGCCACTGTAATGGAAGCATTTCCCCTCTAAGGGTTACAGAGCAAATGGCCATAATCCCCACATTGAAGGCTTATTACAAAACCCTTTTGAGATTGCCAAGTAGAATCTGCACTTCCAAGTTCCTGAGTAAATTGAGTTGAGTTGAGTAAATCCCACATTATGTGTAC